AATCTCGGTATCCGGCGGGATCAGCATTGCCTCTGACTCCTGGTTCACTTGTTCTTCAATGGCTTCAGCTCCGATTCCAGTAGCTTCTTTTTAAACGTGGCCTTAGCCCAGGCATCAATTATTTTATCAGCAATGCAGATCTCCTGGATTTCAATCTTGGTTGTTCCGAACGAGCACTTGCTGGCTTGTTGTCTTAGACGCAACAAGGACTCGGCAAACCACTCACCTTGACGAGGCGTCATGCTGCGAAACATGTGTCTCTCGAAAACTGCGTTACGTTGCGGTGAAAAGTATTCATTCAGTTTATCCACCAGTGGAGTAAATACGTCATTTTCGATGTTCGCATCGTATGGCACCAACGCGCCTGGAAGACTGTACACTACCTCTTGTAGCTGTGGTCCCCCTAGATGGAGTAATTTGTTTCGCTTTTTGACTACTGACGAAATTTCTTCTGTGTCTACGTAGATATGAAATGACCGTAGCCACTTCTCCCACTCATTGCGCCACAACGATTTTTCTATGCTCGCGCACAGAAATGTTTTAATTTCCGTCATTCTACCGATCTGTTTTAGCTTGCACTTTTCTTTTTATTTTATATATATATGTATAGATATAAATGTTATTTTTCTTTTTTCGTGTCCAGCCTCTGACTTTCCAGATTATTTATTTGGCTTGCACTTTTTGTGCCCAGCCTCTGATTTGGTTTGCAAATATTTTTGCGTTCTTTCTTTAATCAGCTTGCACGGCTGTTTGTTTTGCCTTGCTCAGCTGTTTTTTCTCTTTTTGGCTTGTCTTAGAGTCGCCTTTGCACTCTCTCAACTCAGCTTACGTATGCACGTATTATTATTACAATGCTTTTTTTTTTTTTTTATCTTTTTTTTTTTTTGTTTATGGTGGTGCTCTGTGGAGTGCTGGATGGGTAAATTCGTATTTAGCCTCACTTTTTTTCCAATTGGTAGGCCGCGTTTTCTTTATGGTCTCTTCTTTTTTTCTTGCGTTTTCACCTCGTCGCCAATGTATTAACCCGTGTTTGCCCGGGTTTAAGTAAACACAGTTATCGGTTAGTTAATTTGCAAAGTAATATTTATTTATTCACGCGTCGTTTACAATGATCAGCCACGCTCGCTGGCAAGAAGAATAGAAGTAGCAAAAGGAACAAAAGTAACAACAATAATAAAGCTCACATACGAAAGCTCATTCCGTGGCTTGTGCCGCGGATCTTTCTGTGTGTGGATCGTCTTCCACAGAAAGCTCTCTTGGTACGCGTCTCCACACACACATTAGCACGGTTATGCGCTCAAATTCCCTTCCTCACTCTCTCACTCTCTTTATACTCTCTCTCTCTCTCTCTCTCTCTCTCTATGGTCTCTCAAATAGCAGCAGCGCACAGAAATTGAAAATTGTTCGCGACGATCCCAGCTCTTTCCTTTTGAGTGAAGGGGAAATCATAAAAGCGTTTGTCACGCTCATGCAAAAAAATGTAAGCGTTTCGATGGTTATTCGTGGGAAGGGTATGAAAGCGTTGATACGCATAAAGAATATGATTTCACGACGGGCAAGCACACACACACTTGCAGTCTCTGGAAACATGTGTGAGCATTTGTGGCTTGTGTGCGTAACATTTGCTGCCTAAGCAAATTGTAATGTCCAAAATTTACCGTTGATCGACCTTTGAGGGAGCACATACATTTGGATACATATGTGTATGTATGTATGAGATGGAATGATAATTGTCTCGCAATTTACTAGTTTGTCAATTTTGTATGCTTTGAATTGTAGAGTGACTGTCAAATGAGCCTTTATGACTTTATCAGTAATTTTGTCAATAATTAATATAATATAATATAATAATTAATAATTTAATTTGGAAAAAAATCTCCACACTTTACTAATTGTTGGTGCCATAATTACGCTTCGCTTTCCAACTTTTACGCGCCAATGTTGCTTATAGCGATGCGATTTTTTGAGCAAATCATCGACTGTCTCGATATTCAAAACCCATTTTGCGATACAATTAAATCGTGAATTGAAAGAAAATAATCGATTATTGTGTATCAAATGATTAATCTTTCCATCACTAATCGCAGAACAATTATAAGAATTGTTTTTCTGCATAAATTGATTATCGGTAATATTAATTCGTCCTTTTTGTTTATGCGACTTAATTTTTCTGATCCGTCGCGAGTAACTAGACACTATCGTTCGCTTCATTTACCTGTGTACTATAGGGATTATTCTTTGCACAGTGCGTTTCATGTCCTATATGTTAATTATAATAAATATTGTCACGTATGTTTAGTGGTTAATGCATTCTCTCAGATATGATTCATTACTCTTCATTAAAAATCAACGCTATCTATACGAAGCAGCATTGAAATATACACTTATGCTGACTATGTATAATCGTGACAGTAGATAGGTCGGGTACGCAGTTTTACGATGATTGAGTATTTTATTTCTTTCCCATGTACTAAAAAATTTTTTTAATCCATTTACCAAATGAGTAAAATAAGGCTGTAAGCTTAACGTGAAGAAATACTAAGTTCATTCATTGAGTTCTGTGAATATTTAATTAAATCTAAATATGTATGTGAAGTATGCGTTGTGCTGCAACAGTGTAGCTATGAAACACAGTTGCTCAAAGCCTTTTTGATTCAGCACCATAAAAATTTAAGTGCAAGATGATAGTCCAATGTTTTAAGTTAAGTTTTTGTTCTTCACTAGTTTCATCCCCTATCGCGGTATTAAAACTTAATTGTAATAAACTTATCAATAATTAGTATTTGGTTGTGGGTTCAACGAAAAATCGGACAAGACTTATTTAGTTAAGTGTGTTAAGTGTGTTAAGTTTTCATATTTTTACTCATTCACGAAAGTGAAATGAACATTGGTTTCTTGCATGTCCGTTTTTCTGCCCGTCCGTCTGTCCGTATGAACGAATTATTTTTCGGCGCTATTGAAGCTAGAGACTTGAAATTTAGAACACACTCGTCAATTTATTAAGTGTTAAGATTTTTCCGATCCGACCACTAGGGCGTGGCAAATAGTATAATGCATATTAGTTGAAATATTAAACAAGTAAGAAAGCTCTTGTAGAGACTGCTCGACCACGAGATCCCCTGAACTAGAGGTGGGCACGGGCCGCCCACAGTCAAAACTTCAAAATTTTATCCGTACCCGAAAGCAAAAAAATTTTTCATAACCGCAAGAAACACTTACAAAAAATGTAACTCTCAAAAATTACAACAATCAAAAATAACAACAATTTAACTCTTAAAAATTACAATATAATTTGCAGAAATATTACATGTTTTTATATAAAACAAGTAAGAAATTTTAACAAAAACCGAAATTGTATAAATTGCATATAAGCATACATTAAGACTCTAACAATAAAAGTGTAGAAGATATAATTTTATAATTTTTTTTCCTAGGTCCGTGTATATCACGCGCATATCAAGTTTTTCTTTATATATCGATAACTACTCCCTATATTTTATTATCGATCTAAAACCGTATCGAAAGCTAGTTATTTAATTATATCTCCTACACCTTTCGAGCTATAGCTTGCAAATTTTAAATGTAGACTTATATGTATTTTATATAATTTCGATTTTTGTTGTAATTTACCCCCCACCTCTATATCCACCCACACCTTTGTAAAAGGCGTATTTCAAGTACTAGAGACTTGTGCTTTGGAATGTACATACATTTTCACCATATAATTACGCCCTGAAACTTTCATTAAGATTGTACGTATAGAAATTAAATTATTCAACAAATAAATTCTTATAATGTTACTACACTACAGCGCAGCCCAAGCGCAGTCTTTGTTTACTGCGCAGTTAGCAGAGCGCGTTCTAATACGTACATGTGTATGTATATGTGTCGAAAAGAAGTGCAGAGTGATGAGAATATCAGATTAAAGGGTTCAGGGTATCTCCTAGCGAGCAGTCTCGACTAGAGTCTTCTTACTTGTTTTTTTTTGTTGATTTTTATCCAAAAGGTCTTGAAATTCATGATTCAAATTTGTCGGAGAGTTTTCAAGTCTCGCGTCCTCAATTGAATGATTTTGCATATCATAAATTTTAACCATCATGCTTTTGACGGTCTCCAAAATATGATTTTTCGGGTAAAACGGGTTGAGCGGCGTAACCCGCACCCGCACCCAACCCGAAACTCGATTTTTCAGCCCATACCCACGGGTAACCGCGGGTGCCCACGGGTACCCGATAAAAACCCGGCCCGTACCCACCTCTACCCTGAACCCTTCGACCAATAGCTATTTCAATCATTTTTCACGTCTTTCTGCTTACACAAGACACACACACACGCATAAACACACACACAGACAAACACATACACCCACACATACCCAAACACATATGTACGTGCACTTGCCAAATATGTTGATGAGGGGGTGTATATATGGGTGGGGGGTACATTTTAACGAAACCCGAAATTGTATAAAATGCATATAAATATACATACTGTAGCTCCAAGGATGTAGGAGATATAATTTTATAACTGATTTTCGATAAGGTTTTTCATTGATAAAAAAAAAAGAACGGGATGTGTTATCGATTTTTAGTGATAAACTCGATATCCGCGCTGTAAATACGGACATTTAAAAAAAATTGAAGTCTCTAACTCTTATATCTTCTGAAAACGATGCGTTCATACATACGGACAGACGGACGACTCAACTCGTCGCCCTGATCAAGAATATATATACTTTGTGGGGTCTGCCACGCCTCCTTCTGCCATACATTTCATACATACATTTCAACAAAACCATTGTACCCTGATTTCCCATTTTCAATGGGTTAAGGGTATAAAAACATAAAAAATAGAAAAATATAGAAAAAATGGGTAAAACCTATATTTAATATTTGGTATCTAACGCTTTAGTTTTAATAACGGCTGATAAGAGGTTTGGCATCGAAAAAAAAATGTTTTTGAGTAATGTCTTTCCTAATTTTCTGCCATTCTTCAAGAAGAGTTTTTTTTCGGTCGGTTTTGTTCTGGGTTTGCCCGTTTTGAGATACTCCTATCCATCATTCCCACAAGTGTTCAATTTGGAGATTGTTGTGGGTACAGTAGCACATGGACTGAGTTATATGCTTCCCACATTTTGACGATATGCACAGAATGCTTAGAGTCGTCATGTTGAAATGCGAACGAGCTTGGTAGTTGTAGCTTTTCGGCATTTTTTTAAGGTAAGTCTTTCGAAATATTTAGATACAAATGTCAATTATACAGTCTACAAATACCAACTCGCCCACGCTTGATGCAGACATGCAACCCCAGACCATCACCCCACAACCACCATGCTTAACTCTTGGCGTAATATTGTTTTTGTCAAATTCAGTATTCTGCTTTCTCCAAAAAGTTTGGCGCTCATCCGATCAAAATATATTGAATTTGATCAGATGACTTGCTAACATATTTCTCAGCGTAATCCAAATGTGACTTTTTATAACCATCTATGATGCACGGTTTTCGTCTACCAGCAAGCGCTTTGTCTTTGGCCTCGTGCAGTACTCTTGTGTATCGTAATCGGGTGCACATCATTCCCTATATAATTTTTAACCCTAGCGGCAATCTGTGTTTATGATGTTTTGGGATTTGTGTATTTCTAACGATTCTCATGCAAACTCTTTACTTTTTAGGGCTCTGCTGACACTTTCGCGAGATATGACTATACGACATTATTGCTGCACCTCCCTAGCAAGCGTTCTGGTCGAAATTGTTGTGTTCCCATTAACTTTCCTGGCCAGAATAATCTCTGACCTATCTATTAACGCCTAAAGTCGTCCAGTTGAACGCTTTGGCTCCAGTGTTTCATTGTTCTCTGCGCGGTTTGAAATATTCTAAACATTTCTGCAATCTCCGAGACCGATTTTCCTATGGAGTGGTTTTAATAAACCAATTGAATCATGTCAAATGACAATAGATTTACTGGCATTTTAAAAGTATCCAGAGTTTGTAGAGATTTAATCGATTCTTACAAAATATGACGAAATTCTTCAGAGTATAGCATAAGCCACAGCTGTGCACATTGAAAACGCTAAAAACAACGGTAAAGTGAATTTAGTAATAATAAGATATAAAGAATAACATGTGTGCAAACACTTTCGTGTCACTTGAATTTGAATATGTTATTAGTGTCATTATTTTGTTGTATACCCTGAACCCATTGAAAATGGGAAATCAAGGTATAATAATGGTTTTGTTGAAATTATGTAACAGGCAGAAAGGAGGCGTGGCAGACCCCACAAAGGAAATACACTGCGCATCATCAGGTTAGCGCCCCCCTTTACATTCAACCTCAAAGCTAAATAAAAGCTAAACCATCTTCATCTTACATTTTTTATACTCATTCACGAAAGTGAATCAGTATATTGGTTTTGTGCAATGTCCGTCTTGCTGTCCGTCCGTCCGTCTGTCTGTCTGTCCGTATGAACGCAATCTATTTCGGCGCTATTGCAGCTAGAGACTTGAAATTTGGAACACATACTCGTGTATATCTCCGATTTATAAAGATCCGCCCGCTAGGGGCGTGGCAAATCGGAAAATGCGTTTTCCGATATACCAGAAATCATGTTAGTTAAAGAGCTAGAGAGCTGAAATTTGGTATGTGGGTCCGCGTCGACCACCCAAGATCACGAGCTATGGCGGACATATCTCCGCTCATTAGGGGCGTGGCAAATCGGACCTGAAGATATAGTGATTTTTTAAATTCTGCTATATTTTGAACACTGTTGATGCTAGAGACCTCAAATTTTGTATATATACTCGGCCTGATCACTCAAGACCAAAAAGTTTTGTCGGATATATGTCCGCCCACAGGGGGCGTGGCAAACCGCAAAAGTTTATATCTCCTAAAGTATAATAGCTAGAAGCTTCAAATTTAGATAGTTAAGTTACCAGTAACCTCCTCTATCGATGACCCAAAAATAATGTTTACGCCTCTTGAGGGGCGTGGCATATCGAAAAATACCCTGTAATTTTCACATTTTTTTAAGTAAGCATTCAAACTTCAGTCAGGGTACCATTATCACGTTCTAAGAACTGACCAAAAATGAGGTGTCTACGCCCAGTAGGGGCGTGGCGAATCGGAAAAACCTGTATATTCTACAGTATTAGAGCGAAACTTAACTGCTAAACTGTTGATGGGATGTGAATGAGTATTCCGCAGTCGGTAACGCCCGACTGCAACGTTCTTGTTTAATATTGTACTACATCTATTTCTTTTTAAAATAAAAAACAATGGCTACTGTAACAATAGGGAATATTTTTTAATATATATATATATTTTTTTTGTAAAATGTACAAAAAAAATGTAACAAAAATTTGGTCATCCAATTAGCGCCCTCTGCGATAAATTCAATTTATTTAAGTTAATGACCAAAAATAACACCTTTATATTAAGCTATTATTATTATACTCATTCACGAAAGTGAAATGAGTATATTGGTTTTGTGCAAAGTCCGTCTTGCTGTCCGTCCGTTTGTCCGTATGAATGCAATCTATTTCGGCGCTATTGAAGCTAGAGATATTGCTACCTATACCAATGCCACACCACCCGCCCGCCGCCACGGCTTGGCAACCGCTCCAAATAATGTTCTTCCATGAGTAGGTCATGAAAATATTAATTATATGTATCAGTTCCTTCCAAATTAAATTTTTCTCATCAGAAAAGACAACATGCTGCCATTGGGTAGATCACGCCATTTTCGCCCGGGCAAAATTTTTAATGGGAAATCAGGGTATGTTTTGATGAAATGTATATAACAGGCAGAAGGAGGCGTGGCAGACCCCACAAAGTACATATATATATTCTTGATCAGGGCGAGTTGAGTTGAGCTGTCCGTCTGTCTGTCTGTCCATCTGTCAGTATGTTTGAACGCGTCGATTTCAGAAGATATAAGAGCTAGAAACTTCAAATTTTTTTTAAAATGTCCGTAATTACAGCGCGCATATCAAGTTTATCATTAAAAATCGATAACTCATCCCGATATTTTTTTATCGATAAAAAACCTTATCGAAAACCAGCTATAAAATTATATCTCCTATACCTTTATTGCTAGAGTCTCCAAATTTTTTATGTATGCATATATGCAATTTATGCAATTTCGGTTTTTGTTAAAATTTACTTTTTTAAAAAGCGTATTTCAAATACTAGAGATTTGTGCTTTGGCAAATACATGCATATCCATGTTATAATCATCGTACATCCACAAAAAAAGTTATTAAACAATTAAGTTCTTGTGCTTTAGCAAATCGTATGTCCACAAAAAAAGTTATTAAACAATTAAGTTCTTATAGTAAGCGCACACTGCAGCCCGTCCATATGTATGAACGCGTCGATCTCAGAAGATATGAGAGCTAGAGACTTGACCACCCCAATATCCAGCCCCACACCCTTACCTTTGTAAAAGGCGTATTTCGAATACTAGCAACTTGTGCTTTGGAATGTACATACATTTGAATATTATGCTTATGTTCTGAAAGTTTCATTACGATTGTACGTCTAGAAATTAAATTATTCAACAAATAAATTTTTATAACGCTGCCCACACTGCAGCTCAGCCCAAGCGCAGTAGCTGCTTACTGCGCAGTTAGCAGAGCGCGTTCTAATATGTTCGTGTGTGTGTGTATGTGTGCCGAAAAGAAGTGCAGAGTGATTAGAATATCAGATTAGAGAGTTCAGGGTATCTCCTAGTCGAGCAGTCTCGACTAGAGTCTTACTTGTTTTATTTCTGTCTCTTTAAGTAATTAACTTTCTTAATTACTCTTTGGACCGTTGATAAGCTCGTCTTAACACCGGTTTTATCCCTAATCTTGGTAGTCGATTCACAGGAACTCGAAACTTCCTTAGCTAATGCTCTTCTATCTGCTTCTGAAATCACTTGATTATTGCAGCTTATATACTTGTTTCCATAGTTTTTCTTATTTTTAAGAAAATTGCCAATTGGTTTTCTGTTTTTTCCTGTCTTTGCAATTTTATGGTAGTATAGTCCAGATTCAAAGTATGCCTAAATATTTCATTTTTTTAATCAAAGATAAAACTGTTTCTTTACCTATACTATAAATATATTGAGTACTTTTACCTTCACAAGAAATTTGGTAAGTGTAATTGCCAAAATAAGCAAGATAACTGCATTTTCATTTGAGGCGCTAATCTGATGACGCAAAAAAGTGCACGCATTCTTTGTGAAAATAAGGAATAGAAAATAAAACATAAGACAAGATATGAGAGACGTCTTATATGATGATAATAAAATCAAAACAAAAACTAAGAAGTTGCGTGCAATAGGTAAAGAAAAAAAAGTAAAACAATATGAGTGTAAGGAGGGCGCTAGCCTGATGACGCGCAGTACATATTCTTGATCAGTGCGACGAGCTGAGTCGCAAATGCATGTATATCCATATTATAATCATAATCTAAGTTTCATGAAGATAGCCCACCCACAAGAAAAGTTATTACACAATTGATTTCCCAAAGTAAGCTACCACTGCAGCCAATGCGTGTTTATGCGTCGTATGTCTGTGTGTGTCTGCACGTGCGAATAATTATTGAAATCGCAGTTACTCGTAGGGCTTAGGGGATCTCGTAGTCGGGCAGTCTCGACTAGAGCTTTCTTTTTTTTTCCCCCATGAAAAAACATTTTTGTGTCAAACTGTGTGTATCCACTTTTGCTCGTTTTAATCTTTTTTTTTTTTAACTATTTACGATATTTAATATTTTGTTCAAGGACCTTTAGTTTTAATCACACTAGCAATGCGCTTAGGCATACTTTCCAATTTTTCAATAGGGCATGTAGAATTTCGTTCCACGCTACCTAGATCCTACAGCAAATCTCCTCAATCCAATTTGGTGGTATATCCAAATTTAAGAGCCCTTTTTTAACCAAAGTCTATAAATTGTTAATGCGGTTGATGTCTGGACTTTGTTTAGGATGCTCCATTATCAAAAATTTTGGAATGTCCAGCCAATTCTAGACGATTTTCGCTTTGTGCTTGGGGTTATTGTCCTTCTGAAACACGATTTCTTCCTCGGGAGACGCACTATTATCCACAAAATTGTGTAGGTGCGTCTTCAAAATATACAGATAGTCGTCCTTCTTCATAAGTTCATCGATCTTAACCAGCCCATGGTCCACCATGTGAAGCAGCCCCATACCATCAGGCACCCTCCACTATGCTTTATGGT